CATCATCAACATCATCATCATCATCATCAGCAGCAGCAGCAGCACCATCGTCATCATCATCATCATCATCATAATCACCATCAGGATCAGCCTAATCAGCATCATTATCAGCATCAGCGCCATCATATCATTATCAGTACCATCAGCATCAGCATCAGCATCAGCATCAGCAACAGCATCATCATCATCATCATCATCATCATCATCATCATCATCATCATCATCATCATCATCATCATCGTCATCGTCATCATCATCATCATCATCATCATTCATCACCATCATCAGCGTCATCATCACCATCATCGTCATCATCATCATCATCATAATCAGCAGCATCATCATCATCCGAGGTGTTGGGCTCGCACGGTGGCGGGATTTGTCGTAGGCAACAGGATAGCATGCCACCGTGACCACGAACGCGATTGCGAATCTGTGCAGGAAGAAGTCTCTCCGGAAGCGTATGCTGTAGCCCACGCTCTAAGCCGAAAGGATGGCGCGGGGCGTTCCCTGCGCTACGCACTCCCATGTGCGAAGGTAAACCTCGTCGTGCGACTCCTGGTCGTTCGCGCACGTGTATATGCGCCAGCGCTGATGCTGCCAGCGGCAAGTGCGTAGGCAACAATGCAGACCGACATCGACAGCAGCGCCCACAAAACGTCTCATGTGGAATCGGAACCCATTTGGGCGCCCGGATTATCCGGGGTAACTCGGGCCCGGGGAAAACGAACCCGTTTCAGCCCTGACCCGAGTTACCCCTGATGGTTTGGGGCTCTGGGCGCCCGAATTATCCGGAGTAACTCGGGCCCGGGTCAACTCGGGTTCGGATTCCCGGAAAACGATACCGAGTTAGCCCTGACGTGATTCGGGGCTCCGACAAATTACCCTGCCCGTCCCCGTATGGGCACCGGGAGAAGGTCCATCGGCCAAGCAGTGCGGGTTGCCCACCACCACCGCGAGGGGTTCCGCGGGGCGGGTGCCGCGCACTGGGCCCACGACGCCGCAGGTGTGGGAGAGAAGTGAGTGGTGCGGGCAATAGATACGTCCACATCCAATGCGTTTTGGAATTTTGGGTTCTCTTTCCCAGAAGCCGGAGGCGCACTGGATATGGATAATTGACGGTATGGTCCTCAAAGGCTAGGTTTTTCCCATCTCCAGTGCGCCTCGGCCTTGCGGCACCCCTTCCCATAAAGTCCAAGACGCTCTCGATATGGACATGAGCATTGTCCGCAAGCGGATGGGTTCAAACCAACAGCGGCACAGCTCTGTGACCTGGTGGTGCCGCCTCGAGCTGGGGGGGCTCACGTGATCTGTCCTCGCGGGTGCCAACGAGCTCGGCGCGCGCATTGGGCAGCCGCCGTCGGGGACATCCGATGCCCTCCGCGAGCGTGGCCCTCATGAGCAGGCCCCACGGGCGGGCCAGGGCGCGTCCGCGTACGGCTGGGCATGAAGCCCCTCGGCGGCCGCGCCCCTGTGGCGCCGTCTCCGCCTGGGGCTACGGACCGACTGAGACCCTAGCGTCGCCTTTTGCAACAACGGGCGATGTTGCCTTGTTTCGGGCCCCGAGACCATCACAAGTTGATCTGGCTTGGGAAATGCAGCAAAAGATCGGGTTCAGGGCTCCAGTCGTGATCTCTGCTCACGTGATCTCAAGGTCCAGGGCGGTGCGACGGACGCGAGAGGGCACGTGCAGCCGCCACGTGCCATCTTGCCAGAACGCCCAGCTGCACCGCCCTGCAGAGCCACGGCGCCAACGTTGCCCGCCGCGCGCCACTTTGGGCACGACGACATGCGGGGCGTCGGGCTGCACGTGGGGCTGGCGCTCCGCCGCAGCGGGAGAGGTGGTCCTGACGACAGCGTCCCGAGTAAGAACGGTGCGTGTTCCCCAAGGAAGGTGCCAGGAAGGGGCAACGGGACCACAAACTTCGAGGCACGGAACTGTGTCTCGGCGGCGCGCCTGGAGGGGGAAGCGATAGGATGCAGGCCTTGTCAGAGGCGGCGGGGCTTCTCAGCAGCCCTCCAGCCGTCAGAGAAGCCGCTTCTGTCTTCGGGGAAGGCTTGACAACTTCTCGGCAGGCCCGAGGCCCTCCGAGCCTTCTCTGCATCACCCCCCCGGCGCGCCGCCGAATGCCTGCCGCGGCCACCGCGTCGCCGCGCCCGCCGTGGCCAACACGCCAACGCCGACCGCCACCGCGCTGAGGCCCGCAGCTCGGCGGTGCCGCGCGAGCCACGGCGGCGACCCCCCCGCGCCCATGGCGCAGACGGCGCCACGGCGGGGGCCCGCGAACGCGACCGGCGACGCCGAACTCGCCGCTCGGGCGCCCCGAGGCGGCCTAGGCAGGGCGCGCCCGCTCCCGGGGCCGCCCTCGGGGCGACATCCCTCCGGAGCACCGCGCGCTCCGCGCCGTGCCGCTGCCCAGCGCTGCACCGGCCGCCGTGCGCAGGCGTGAGGCAAAGGGCGGCCGCGCGCCACTTCTCGCCGTCCACGGCGCCGCTGCCGCTGCTGCCGCCCCGCGCTGGCAGCGTGCGCCCTCGCGGGGGGGCGGGAGCCGTTCGTGCCGTCCCGAAGGTCAGCGCAGCGCCTGCAGAAGGCGCCACCGCCCCAGCAACCCGGAGCGCACTCGAGTGGGCGAAGGAGGGGGGAATGCCCGCGCGAGCGCAAGGCCGCAGGCAACCAAGGGCAGGATGCGCATCAGACTGAGGAGCAGCAGCGGCAGCAGCAAGAATGTGAACTGATGTAGGATAAGGAACATGATGCGGGGGAGGAGGAGGAGGAGGAGGAGGAGGAGGAGGAAGAGGAGGAGGAGCAGGAGGAGGAGCAGGAGGAGATGGGGGAGATGAGCAGAGGAGTGGAAACAAAACAATGCTTTCGGAAGTGTGTGCGGTCTTGGCGCCTCGGGCGCCGCCAGGAGGGGTCAAGCAGAGATCCATGCGGATCTCAAACAAGTTACATTCATGCCGCTCTTTGCCCTTCTTTGGTGGGCGAACGACTGGGGGGGCAGAGGGGTACCGATACCGCCCAGAACCTCTGCCTGGGTGCGCCTTGGAACGATGTGGAACGTTTTGACAAGCACAGCGTGCGCGGGGAAAAAGAGAGAAAGAGCGAGCAGTGCCAGCCACAGCTTCTTTGGACCAGCAGCAGCAGCAGCAGCAGCGCGAAGCGGGCCGAGAGCAGCCTCGGTACATCCGAGGCGCACGGCAAGTCCGTGTCGTCACGACCACGGCGTTGGTTTCTGACACCGCGTGGATCGTTCAACCTTGGAACGATCGTTGGCTTCACGACCGCTGGATCGCTTCATATTGGCCGATTCCGGGCCACTGGCGTTCTGCCAACGCCCGCGGCGGGGTCGCTGCCGCGTCGGCGCGACGCGAACCTGCCGTGCGGACCGGACCACGCCAGTGCCGCGCGCGCGAGCTGCGCCTGAAGCTCCTCGGGCGCCTCGAAGACGAGGCTCGCCCGCAGCTGCTCGCGGACCCGCAGGGGGCGCCGGATGTGGTGTCGGCCCAATCAGCATTTCGCTATATGTCGCCCTTTCTCGCCTGTTCGGCCTCTAATGACCCCAGGGCCCCAGGACGGTCCCCAAGAAACCCGAAGAGGCAAAGAAGGGCCCCAAGACACCCCCAAGGAACACACATAACCCCTGAAACCTCGGCAGCCCCACAGACTACCACGATGCCTTCGGACGGCTTCAGGGGCCCATGAGAGGCCGCCAAGATGGCCCTGAAATGGCCTGATCGATAGACAAAATATAAACATGTAATCGTTTACCAAATTCCGCCAGCCGCGGCAGGGATAACCAAGGATGGACTCGGTAAGGCTCTCAGAAAGGCTCCACCGATGACCAGTGGTTTCCCAGCTGGGGCTATCGCGAGTTGGTGGGCGCACTGGAAGGACGAATGAGCAACATGAGGTGGAGGCGGGTAATGAGTCTGACGCCAGCGACAAGGAAGCAAGCGAAGAGGAATATGACGGGGAATAGAAGGAGGGATGATGAGGGATGAGGGAGAGGCCAGAGATGATGATGATGATGAGGAGGAGGAGGACCAACTCTGGGGAATCCAAAACCGGGCAACGTGCTGGATACTCGCAGCCCCCGAAGTGGCACCCCAGGCCCGCGTTCGCAGACTTGCTCTCCCGAAAGTCGTCATTTTTTAGACGACTCCGAGGACTCCAGACAGCGGCGTGAACATAAACTTCTTGAGAGGTCCAAGCATCAGGTCGGGCATGTCCTCCTACAGGCGGATTTTGCACGAAAAACAAAGTAGCCAACGCATACGCAACACAGCCAACAATAGTAGAAGCATCGCCCCTAGACTATTTGAACATTCCTCCTGTCGAGGGACGTGCCCGACTTGACCCGAGCCCCCTCCCTGCACCCGCTGCCCAGCATGCGGGCCGCGCCGCGGGCGGCCCCGGGAGCGCCGCCCCCAGCGGTGCGTCCGCCAGGGGGCCTGGCGCCGACGAGAGAGACACTCTGCGCGGGCCTCCGAGAGTTCCTGCGAGCGCCGCTGTCTGCTGGTCTTGTTATACGAGAGCGGCCCCCCTGCACCGTACTACAGGGCAGTTTTTGATACATAGGATTTTAAAACAAAAAAAAACAAAAAAAAAATAATGCATGAATAATTGTTGATTCAATGTATGCATAAACTCATCTTTGTATTTATTGATAAACCCTTTATTTTTAATACATGGTCCGCACGCGGAGCATGTATTAAAAACGGCACTGTAGGTCTGGACTCCATTCAGGCCCCGCTCCAACGTGGTACGGTGCACAGTCTTGGGGCTCCCGCAGGCCGACAAACGATGCGCCGTACCAGTCCTGGGTCGAAGATCGACATCGCCTCGGGGGGCGCCAACGCGGTACGCTGCATACACACCGTCCTCGACGGCACTTTTTGACACCGCTGCGGGGTGGAGTGAGGTCGCCTGCTCCGGTCTCGCAGTCCGCCGAAAGAGGAATCCGAAGATTCGAAGCAACAACCGCAAGTTCGAATCCCACCTGCGTGACCGTGCACCTGTCATCGAACATGTCCACGTTCACCTTAGCAGGAAGCGTGTCTGGGGAAAACCGAGAAGCATTGGAATCGCAATTGTCCTCCAGATCCTGCTGCCTCCTCCACCTCCTCAACCCCACCTGCTGCTCTCACGCGTGTGAGATCTTCGCCTCTGTCCAACCACTTCCACCACCCCTGGGGGAACTGGTGCAGCCAATGTGGATTTGGGAGATTTTCAGTTGGAAAACTACGGAAATGGTCCAAAGGTCCGAACTTGTGCAAAACAGGCAAAAGATCGCCGCGAAGATCGAGCAGGATGACCACTCTGGGACTCAATAGGGTCTTCAAGATGCGCCCATCAGACCCCCAAACGGCTTCAAGACGGCTCAAGGTTACACTGCAGAAATCCCACATTACTTACCCGCACGGGACGTGTGAAGGCAGCGCGCAGTCGGCGGGCGAGGGCATAGGAAGACGAATGTTGTTACCTGTGCTACATGCATTATGTTCCCTTCTCCCAAATGTTCTATAATGTAAGGCCTCCCTTTGATCATTTGACCTCTCCCCTCCCTGGAAGAACAAAAAACTACACATAAACGTTCGAAGGTTCGCACAGCTTTCTTGGATCGGCGCTGGACTTCCCTCCCTGACGCGCGGAGCGCGCCAGGAGCAGCAAACAATGAATTCTTCCCGCGTCGAATGTGAATACAGCGTGGTTGTATTCACAACCGCACCAGATGGCGAATCTGGTTTTCGTCTCTCTACTCTCCACTGTCTGCTTTCTGCCCGTACTGTCTCATACGTATTGATCTGTATATACTAGAACTACGCGCGCGCTACGAGCGCTCAGGTTCCAGCCGATTGTGCATTCGTTGTCGATCAACTTTGCGATCAAGAGAAAGACACATATATATATATATATGTATAGATATACACATATATATATATATGTATACATACACACATGCAGCACCCCGCAATCGCGGATAAGAGTGAGGGGGGCGGCGGGCACGTCGGCAGTCTACGAGGCTCTGAAGAAGCCCGCCGCAAGCGCTTAATCCATACAATGGTCATACCATCTGGGTGGGTCGCGGGCCAATTTGCGGCTGGGTCGCGGGTGGGTCGCGTGTGGGTCGCGGTGTGGGTCGCGGGTGGGTCGCGGGTTGGTCGCGGGGTGGGTCGCAGGTGAAACAATACGCAACAAACAACAAGCACAACAACAGCAGCAACAACAACAACAGCAGCAGCAATAACAACAACACCAACAACAACAACAACAACAACTACAACAGCAGCAGCAACAACAAGACCAACAACAACTACGACAGCAGTAGCAGAAGCAACCACACAAACCACCAACACCACCACCAACAACAACAACAACAATAATCCGCATTGAAGAATCCCAATTCAGCCACGCGCGCAGGATCAGTGAATGACCTTACGGCCCCCGAATTCTGATATACACATCTATATATATGTATATTTATAGCATATATATATAGCACCCCGCAATGGCGGATAAGAATGGGGGCAAGCGCGGGGTGGGTCGCAAGTGGGTCGCAGGTGGTTCGCAGGTGGGTCGCGGGTGGGGCGCGGGTGGGTCGCAAGTGGATCGCAAATGGGTCGCGGGTGGGTCGCGGGTGGGTCGCGGGTGGGTCGCGGGTGGGTCGCGGGCGAGTCGCGGGTGGGTCGCGGGCACGAGCGCGGTTTGGACGGCGACATCAAAAACATTCCATGTGAAGACTGTTCGCTCTTATCTGCTCGAGTGCCAGCCAACATGCGTATCTCAAAGCCTCGATACCCGCCCTCTTCGTCTTCGACTGTGCCTCCTCGGGGATGTATCTCCTTACCTGCAGCGCGTACTTCGTGAAGCCCCTAAGGCAGGGGCGTCGAGGACGGAAGGAAGGAAGGGACAAGGGGGAGGAAGGAGGATGGAGCATGAGAGAGAGTAGCAAGATGGGGGCCAGGAACATAAAACATGTGGCAGAACCAATTGGGCAGATCGGGCGAGCAGACCCAAACGGGCGGCTCGGGGAGGTGGGCCCAAACGACCGGGTCGAGCAGGCGGGTTGCTGACGCGTGCGTCCCGTATGAATCGCAAGTAGGCTTCGAGCGATAGCGCGGTTCCCATGTAAATTGTGAGAAAACGCCTAAGCGAGAGCGTGGTTCCTGGGTGTCGAGGGCGCGGCGTCTGAATCAATTGGAAGAAAATCCCACGCGCGATCACGATTCCTGCATCAATTATAAAGTGCCGCGCCAGAACGCGATTTTGGAAAAACTTGTGTGCGAATGTCAGGCGGGAGCTGCTGTTGATGTAAACCAATGGCCAGGTGGCCCAATCTGAGCCGCAACACCGCAAGATTCTCCTTTGCAAAATGCCTTGGGAGGAACACTTGAATTGGAACCAGGGTATCACAAACAAAACATTATGAACTTAGAACCCAGGCACAACAAATAACAATGCAACATCAATCTGCACCGTGGAACCCCACTTCAGCCACGATCCCACGGACAATGAATGATCGTTCGGCCCCCTCACTCTTCTGCGAGTGTATCGATATACAAATATATGTATATAATTGCACCATATCGACTGCACCGTACAAATTGCACCACACATGTCGCGCCACGCAGAGCACACCATATCGATTGCACGGCTTCGGGGCCAGAACGGCCGCCTCTGGAAAACGCGACGGGTGCACATCGGGCGAGCGCATATCGATCCCCATGGTGGTCTTCACATCCTCTGGTGAGAGATTGTGAGTTTGTCCTCTAGCTGCTTCTTGCTCCACTATTAAGGGACCACGTGCGAACCATCAGAAATCGTTGGGCGGTGGGGTAAGGTTCGCATGTGGCCACCGAAGTATCCCTCTCCTTCCTCAGTATCTTCTCTTCCTCCTCCCTCTTCAAGTTGTGAGGGGATCATACTGCCACTTCCCTCTGTGGAAATAGGGAGTGTGAGTCTGGCCACAAGGGAAAAGCGGTGGAAACCAGAACGGAAGGCGTCGATCGACTGCGTCAGTGGGCTTGCTTTGCGCTCCCCCCCCCCAACAACAAGAAAACCATGGGCTCCACTGGAGCAATTCACATCGGGTCCTTCTCCCCCACGCCCGGTCTCCTCTGCACGTCCTTCGCAGAAGGAGCCCTGGGAAGAATGCAGGAGCCGTCGTGGCCCTGGGGAGAAAGGTTCCAAGGGCAAGAATAGATGGTTCGATGATCTCATCTCTTCTCCCTCCCTGTTTTCCTTGAGAAGTTGGGAGGTGGCTCCGGTTTCGAAGCCCTCATATTCGAATACCTCCTCACCCTCTTCCTCTCTCATCTAAAAATCCTCGCCTTTCTTGATGTGGAGGGGGGGAATCGATGTGCGAGGGGAGGTCATGAGAAGTAACTAAAGGCTCAGGGACCTCCTCTTCCTCTCTACTTCTCCATCCAGTGAGTTTACCAGAAAGTCTAGGCTTGAAGCTCGAAGATTGGAGGGCCTTCTCCTTCCTGATCTCCCCCCCCAACCTCCCTGGGCGGAGGGGAAGAGGAGCAGGATCGATGTGCGAGGGGAGGGGAGGAGGATTGAGAGTCGAGGGGACTGTGCCCTCCCTCCCTCCCTCCTCCTATTCCTCCTGGAGGGGGTGGGGGGGGAGACGAGGATCGAGTTGCGAGACGAGTGGCCAGGAGGGGGAAGCAGGGCATCGAGATTCGAGGTGAGGGCCTCCTCCCTCCCCCTCCATCTCCCCGAGGAGGCGGGGGAGGGGGGCAAGAGGATCCGGGGCTGGACGGCACGAGGCTCAAGAGCCTCCTCCTCCTCCTTCCTCCTCCTCCCGTTGACCTCCCTCCTTGCGCTCCTCGAGGGGAGGAGGAGGGGGACGGGGGGGGGAGGGAAGATCCCGGCGCGAGGGGAGGGGAGGAGACGGGGATGAACACCGACCGCCTCTTCGCGAAACTGCGGCTCGGAGACGCGCAGCCAGACGCCTGACCCCTTGACCTCGGCCTGCCCCCCTCCCTGTCCTACAACTCTGTCCTCCTGGCCATAACCAAGGGCTGCCAACGGTGACCCTGGCCAAGGTGCCCCTCCTCCTCCTCTTCCTGCTCCTCCTCCTGCTCCTGCTCCTCCTCCTCCTCCTCCTCCTCCTCCTCCTCCTCCTCCTCCTCCTCCTCCTCCTCCTCCTCCTCCCCCTCTCCCTCCCCCTCTCCCTCCCCCTCCCCCTCCCCTTCTTCCTCCTGGAGGCCGTGGGGGCCTCCTTGGAAATCTTGGGGACATCTTGGGCCAGGGGCGCCTCTAGTAACATCCAACAGAGGATGCTGCGAGGTGCTCGCCTGCAGATTCTTCACCGTCGGCACTATGGAGTAGCACGGGCCGCACCAGTCGGTGTACACGTCCACGACGTTCGGGGAAGGGGTGGACAAGGAACGGGGCTCAGACGAATGAAGAAGACGACAAAAACATGAACAACAACTTGTGGCGCTCCGCGCGGATTTCTTAGATCCGCGCTGGGCCCCCTGGCGGCGCCTCCGGCGCCGCCCCTGGCGCGCTCCGCGCGCCAGGGAGGGGGATCCGGCGAAAGCTTATGTTTATAGCGTTTTTTCTTCTTCGAACGTGGGATGAAGATAGTTTTGAGACGGGCATGAATTTGGATGAGGATGGATCGGGCATCTCAGGAATCGGCGGGTACAGAGGACGCATCGGGCGCCGCGGCCGTTCCAGAGCGATCTGGAACACACCAGGAGCGTTCCAGAACGCTCTGGAGAGACTTGTCGATCCCCATTCTTCGAGTAAGAGATCGACAGCAAAACTGATGTTCCCCCAAATCGAAATTCGTGTACGAATTGCTCTGCAACAAATACATGCAGAACGTCAGCAGACCTACGATCATTCGACGCGTCTCTAGCAAATTCGACGACTGAATGCTTTGCAATGTCAGCTCTGGGATGAATCAATCCCGTGGTCGATCTCCTACTCCAATTCCTCGGATTCAAATCCAGACGCGGAGACGAGGGGCCCCCCAAGGGGCCCGATCACAGCGCGCTCCGACTGAACACAAAAACCCGGGAGTCGTACGGGAAGCGGGTGCGCAACACGTACTGGCTACCTACCAGACCACCCCAACCCAGCCCGAAGATCCGAATTTCGGGTCGGGGGGGGGGGGTACGGGCTTCATGTGTTTTTGTCGATGTTCCCCGACCCCAGAATTGGAAATGGAGGGCAAATTGAGGCCTTCGGGTTGGGTTGGGGTGGTTTGGTGGGTGGTGGCGTACGGATTGAGAGACGACGCAAATGTCGCTGATGCTGTGTAAGTCCCCAATCCGTGCTTGCACTGAAGGGGTCCCGGACATTGAAAAATTTGGCGAAAATGTCCCGCCGATTTTGGTGGCCAGCTGGGCTCCCAGGTTCCTGGTTCAGGGTTCGGTTCCTGTTTCCCGGGTTCCTGGTTATTCGTTCTGCGCCCATTTCGGTGGGTCCCAGGTCCCTGGGTTCCCATGTCGATCTCCTTCTCGATCACACCACCCACCGATTGGGTTTTTGTTCTCTGGCGTAATTGCTATTTTTTTCGCGGCGACGCAACTCATTGTGCGTCGGCGCATTGCCGCTATGGCGCCCGTCGCAAGGCCTCGGCGGAGCGGTGGGCGCGCGAGGTCAGCGCGTGCCTCAGCAGGGTGCAAGCTGCACGCGTGGCCACCGGCACCTCCCGTTGCGCCTAGGCCTCTGTTGAAGGGGGCCCTGGGACACGCAAATAAATACACACAAACGCACAAATAACAGGATTCCCCATACTTTCCAATATTTTCTGGATTTTCGTCTTCCCCCCCACATCCCATATTTTCCTGCCTTTTCCTGGGAATCGACGATTAACTGTGTCTGTGTTCTTTTCCCTCCTCATTTGTGTCTGGAGCCCGCTCCCGAGGCGCTCCTGACGTGTCGCTGGTGCGATGCGATTATCCCTCCCGAGTTCGGGCTCCTCTGGCTTTTGGGCGTGAAGTCACGTGGGTGCGACCAGTGGCGGGGGAAGAGCGGTGCCTTTCCAGGCCCCTCCGGGGCTCCTCCAGGGGTCGCTCAGGGGGGCCTCTTAGGGGACCCTTTCGGGGTCCCTACTCGCCCTTTTTGTTCGGCGAGGCCATATCGCTTCGCGGCCCCTGGAATTGACATCCTGCCCTAACCCCCTCAATGCTTCAGTGCGCTGACACTCCTCGTGCTCCAACCGCCCCCCCTCCCGCGCCGTAACTGATTAATACATGCCGGTACTAACTATATCGTTCGGACATTTCCACCCTCGGAGATCCATCCAACTATTTGAAAGCTGCTTGTGGCGTCGGAAGGACCGCACATTTGGATTCGAGGCTACCAGTGTCAGCACTCAGGCTCTTCTTCTCTGGACGCCCCGCTCCCCGCAGACCCAGCCCCGAGATGTGGAGCTTCTTGGAGGACGCGTCTGTAATCCAGCGGCCCCCCCCGCGGGGCACCGGGCGTGTGCGGCGCCAGGCCGATCCTTAGCCCAGGTGTGGCGCAACCAGGCCGACAGCCGACGGCCCTGTTGAGAGGGCTGCTCGCCTCGGCGTCCTTCGTCGCGGCCCTGCCCCTGCAAGCCAAATTTATGAAAAACTCGCCGGGGCCTCAGATTTGGACGACCGAAATGGGTACGGAAAACATGGGTACAATGCCCTACAACAAATGTTGTTCCAAACCAACAGCGGCCGCTGTTGGGCGGGCGGCCTTCTGTCTCAAATGGACGCAGGCCGCGGCGGCGCGGACAGCGAATCCTGTTCAAAATGAACAGGAACTGCTGTTGGGCATCGTACTCATTCTTTCCGTACCCATTTCGGGCGTCCAGATCAGAGTCTGAGGAATGTCTGCAACCAAAGGACTCCCGGGGGGGGGTCCGATACCAGAGCGTCGACTGGGCTCGTAGGGGTAAGGTCCGCAAGGCCTCGCTCACCATCTCGCTCACGGGCCCCATGGCGCGTGCTGCAGGATGTCGGAATGGACGAGGGCGCGCTCAAATGACCGGCTGGATCGCAGTCAAAGCCACTCCTGCGGTGCACTCGGGCACAACCGCGCGACGTGCAAGGACGATGGGCATGAGCCAAGATGGAGGGCGGCACTAAAGCTTACCATCCACCCCATCCTGGCGGCGCGCACACGGGGCGAACGCGGGAGGAGCGGACGTCTAACAAGACGGGGTGCTTCTTAGAAGGCATGGGGTCTTTTCAGGAACACCCAGGTGCTTCTAAGCAGACTCCTTGGAAGCCGACAGGCCTTATAAGCCCCCTGCCTTCTCATAGGCACCCACCGTCTTCGCAAAAGGCCGCCCCCCCTCGTGCCACCCCCTTGCGCGAACCGACAACCCTCCTCCTCCTCCCCTTCACGGGAAGCCTCCCCCTCCCCGCCGGTAAGCCGTCCTGCTGGCTCTGCCATGTTGGGGCGACCGATTCCAACGTCGGGCGTGGATATTGTCAAACTTCTTCGAGATTCAGCTTCGGGGTGACACGAGTAGAGGCCTCCTAGACGGGGTCCGAGTGGATGGGCTCGGAGGATCGCGCCACATCGCCGACGCATCGTCGATGCATCGACGATGCATCGGTGACGTCGGCGATGCGGCGGCGACGTCGGCATGGAGAAAATCGGGCTTCACATAGAGACGCATCGCCGTTGCATCGCGATGCGGCCCGATCCACCGACCCCATCTACTCAGACCCCATCTGGAATGCTCGAGTGAAAGGCCATTCTGGAAGAACGGGGTTCTGCTCGCACTCCCCACGAAGGTCGGCCGCACCCGTGGTGGCCCGGGCACCCTTGGGGCCAGCGGACCCCAGGAACCTACAGTAGGAGCTCGACCACAAGAAACCTTCCACAAGAAACCCAACCCTGAAACCCCAGGACGTCCATTGATGTTTGGTGTGGGAACGTCACGCTTTCCGTAGGGAAAGCATCGACACCCAAGAAACCCTGGGCACCCTGGAGGCGAGCAAGGTGTTCCTTGGCATGGGATTCCACTGTACCGGACTACCCTTACCAGGCAGCCTGAAAGGGCCCCAGGACACACAAACAAATACTCACAAATAAAGATATTCCCCATACATATATATATATATATGTATTTATATATTCTGGGTTTCTGTCTTCCCCCCCACTTCCCATATTTCCCCATATTTTCTGGGGAATCGACGACTCATTGTCTGTGTGTTTTTTCCCTCCTGGCAGCCCCCCATCCAGAGGCGAGGACCCAGGTCCCCCATGAGCCCCTCCAGAGGAATGGGGTGACTCCCTTCGACGGCGGTGGCGGCAGCCTGTGGGCTCTGCTTCTGGAAGAGGTCTATGTCAAACCCATCCTGAGCGCGCAGAATGGGCGGCGGATTGCAAGTAGCGACTCGGGCATGGCACGCGTAAATGCAGTGGAGGCCCAAGATCATGCGTGCGAGAAGCACTGCTGTAGTCCAGACGCGCACTCACACCGCTCACAGGACGCCTGCGCCGACGACCTCGGAGGCCCCAAAGCCTCGGGAAACGTCACGAACGCCATGCTGGATGTCTGAACAATCGCCTTGGATGGAGGCCTCCTACATGTCTTCCGAGTGGATGGGGTTGGAGGACTGCGCCGCATCGCTGATGCGTTGCCGATGTATCGGCGATGCGGCGGGCTGGAGAACACCAGGCCACAGATCGAGCCGCACCGTCTGTGTGCAGGTGACTCGGCGTGGGAGGCCTTGGACTGAAGGTTCGAACCTTGGACGTATCATACCCGAGCATCTGGGACGAAACGACCCCCGCCGCACCCAGCCCTCCCCCCCACCCACCCACACACACACACACACACAAACACACACACGCGCGCGCGCGCACGCGCACCCGCACGCGCACGCGCACGCGCACCCGCACGCGCACGCGCACGCGCACGCACGCACGGGGCGGCAGCGACGAGGCAGAGGCAGAGGAATGAAAGATAAGCAAGGAGGAAGGCCGGAGCAATAAGTAAGGAAGTCCGCATGTGCGCCGGCATGCACCTCGAACCCATTCTTCCAGCTGGTGTGTGGGCGGCAGCGAACGACAACGGGACAGGAACACGCGGAGAGAAAGCGGGCCCACAGTGCTCAGCGCAGCGAGGCCTGGAGAGCTCGACTCGGAGGAGGGCCCTGTCGAGACAACGGCGGCTCCCCCGCTCGGCCCAACTCCGCTCAGATCGGGCATTCACCCCCGTGGGGGGGGAAGACGCGCACCTCTCGTTCACCTTCTGAGCCCGCGGCGGCAATTGAGGAGGCATTTGCGGCCACGGCTTTCCTGTAACCCTCGATACTCCTCGATACCCCCACGTTTATAGTAGGAGCTCGACCACAAGGAAACCTTCCACAAGAAACCCAACCCTGAGACCCCAGGACGTCCATTGATTTCTGCTGTGGGGGCGTCGCGCTCTCCATAGCAAAATCATCGCCCCCCCCGAAACAAAAGGGAACCCTGGAGGCAAGCAGGGTAGTTCTTAGCATGGTTCTCCACTGCAATGAACCGGAAGAAACCGGGGAACATGACAAAAACTGATCGCAGAAACGTCGTGTCGATCTTGGGCACCGTCGACCTCGGTGAGCGTCAATCCGTGGATTATCCCCGGGAAGGGGCAGCGGCCAACATGGACCACGACCAAGATCGAGATCTACAGGATCCCGCGACATCTTGGTAAGGGCGACTGGTCTTCTTCACTCGAGCGAACTCTGCGCTGGGCAACAGGAATAGGAGGAGGAGGAGGAGGAAGAGAAGGAGGAGGAGGAGGAGGAGGAGGAGGAGGAGGAGGAGGAGGAGGAGGAGGAGGATGAGGAGGAGGAGGAGAGGAGGAGGAGGAGGAGGAGGAGGAGGAGGAGGGAGGAGGGAGGAGGAGGAGGAGGAGGAGGAGGAGGATGAGGAGGAGGAGGAGGAGGAGGAGGAGGGAGGAGGGGGAGGAGAGGAGGAGGAGGAGGAGGAGGGAGGAGGAGGAGGGAGGAGGGAGGAGGAGGAGGAGGAGAGGAGGAGGGAGGAGGAGGAGGAGGAGGAGGAGGGGGAGGAGGAGGAGGAGGAGGAGGAGGAGGAGGAGGAGGAGGAGGAGGAGGAGGAGGAGGAGGGGGAGGAGGAGGAGGAGGAGGAGGAGGAGGAGGAGGAGGAGGAGGAGGAGGAGGAGGAGGAGGGAGGAGGAGGAGGAGGAGGAGAGGAGGAGGAGGAGGAGGAGGAGTGAGAATAGTAGGCCCCAGGTTCGACTTCAGACATCTCTTGAGGCTTCCTACGTCGCCACCGCCGGATAGGGCAGAGTGCCCTTAGCTGCTACTTCTTATAGCCACAGAATCGTAAACATACTGTGGCTCAATGCGAGAAAAGCCCGCTTTGGTAGCGGAGCTATCAAGCTCCGCGGGCCACCCCTCCGGTCGGCCGGCCCTCCGCGCGGCCAGCGCCGCGCGTGCCCGCGCCTCCGCAGGCAAGTACGACTACTGCAAGTACGAGTGCGCGCTGGACGACCAGTGCGCGAGGTCCCGCGAGTACGCGGGGTACCACAACGACGGCATCCTCCAAGAGTGTGACGAGTACCGCGGGCACGCGGAGTACCACCAGCACATCAAGGAGGTTCAGGCGATCACGCCTGATCTACGGCACTGTTTTCTACTACTTGTACTTTGTTTTTTACGGCGCCGACATGGCGCACCAGCAGCAAGGCGGCGACAGACAACAGGGTACGCTTCAGCTCGAGGAGTTCACGAAGTTCGTTCCACCGGGCTGGCGCCCGCATGTAAGAGGTTACACGTTCCGACGATATATGCAGAAGCTGAAGCTGTGGTGGAGGATCACCGAGGAGAACCAGTATGAAAGGATCGGGCCGCTCATAGTCTCACGACTTCAGGGCGCACCCTTCACCGCAGCGATGTCGTTCACTCATGTACGAGATGGAGTACAGTATCGAGGAGATGAAGCTATAGCACTGCCAGCACAGTTGGCCAATCCACCACATCAGCAGGAAGATCAACTAGGCATCAAGCACTTCTTGAATCAGCAGAAGGCGATATATGAGCTACATGATCAAGACAGAGTTGGCATTGTATTGGACTAGTTCTTTGATTGCCGGAGAGGACATCATCAAGACATACCGACGTGGATTTCATCGTTCGAGTTGGCATTCGAAGATGCATGTGAGGAAGGCGGCCTGGTTATGAACGACACGGGCCGCAGTCACTTCTTACTGAAGAATAGTGGACTGTCAGATAAGAGGCTCGACGATTTGAAATTACACGTGGCAGGCGATCTATCTCAATATCGAGTACTGCAGGGCCTGATGATGAGGCTCGGCAAGCAGGACCAGGTCGGGCAACACAACGAGTGGGCCTGGTATGGTGAACAGGGAGATGGAGCCGATCCAGAAGATATGGAGGAGACCTGCCTACAATGACGAGCAGTACGAGTGGGGCTACGACCAGGACTTCGGCTGGACGGCTACAGCAGATTGCGAATGGTACTTCCAAGAGTATGATGACATCTGGGCCAAGTATGACGACAGCGGCGAGATGACGGAGTACTACGAGGCAGATCAAGACGACAACGACACCTACTACGGTGGCAAAGGACGCGGCAAAGGCAAGCGTGGCAAAAACAAAGGCAAAGGTCGAGGACGAGGCGGATTCAGACGGCGCTTTCCCATGAAAGGCAAAGGACGTGGCAAAGGCAAAGGTCACAGCGGCAGCGGCAACGATCGCATGAGCGGCGCGGGTCAGCGACACGACGGATGCGATATTTGTGGAAGCAAATGGCATGATCGAGCTCACTGCCCCGCCAAGGATCGACAGCAACAGCAGCGGCCGCAGCAGCAGCAGCAGAGCTCGACCTCGACGAAAGGCAAAGGTAAAGGTGGACGCAGCCGTCACTATGCAAACGTTGTTGGTCTCTCTACCTCGGACGCGACAGCAGCATCGGCGTCCGCAGGATCGAGTTCGGCGGTACCACAGATGACGACGAGGCCGCCTGGCTCGTGGATCAACGTTGCTACTCCGATCACCTCGACGGCAAGCACGATACCTGTGGAGCGATATCATGTGGCTACCGGTTCCGAGTGTGCAGTACCAGAAGGTGACTCGTATCAGATCGACGCGGACGAGCCCTCTGACTGGCACGCGCATCCTGAAGTTGAGGCACCAACACCGGAACGGCAGCGACCGGTTCGACCACCCATACTGGGTTCAGCCTCTCCTTTTCCTGATGATCGAGTCAGCCGGACACCTCTGAGATCGGTGCTTCGCGACACGACGGCATCATCATCAGCAGGCGAGGCTCCAGCTTTGACGTTAGCCCAGAAGTTATCTAAGCAGTACGCTTTGGTGGTCATGAAGAACCAGGTGAGCATCACAGGTGGCACTGACATGAATGACCAGATGATCTCCTCATACGGCAATGACACGATGAACGAATCTGCTCAATCATCTAGGATATTTGGCTGTCTGCAGACATTGCCCGCAAAAGCAGATCAATCACTTCAATTGCTTGGTTGTCAGCAGAGGCCTACATATGATGATCAGCGACACAGCTCATTCCTGGAAGGCAAGAACAGCAACGACGACCCCTACGCGATACTGCATACAGTGAAAGGCAAGCCTCGACATGGATTGATCGTTGACCCAGGAGCAGCCGAAGGTCTACTTGGCACGGAGACGTTGTTGGAGTGGAACATGGGCTTGTATCAGCCTGAAGGCATCTCCTACAACATCCGGTCTTCTCAGGCGACCTTCACGGGCATCAACGGTCAAGCCGACCCCTCATGTGGCGAGTTTCTCGGACCGATCTGGGTCGAAGGCATGGCGAAGGCCACCACCTACCAGGCGGACATGATTGGCGGTCCTGGCGCAAGGTGCCCGGGCCTCCTGCCCAACAGCACCATGATCAAGCAGAAGTGCATCCTGTTCGAGAATATGTATCGCAATGGTGACGGCATCCTGGCGTTCGTGCCTGGTGATAAAGTCTCTACGATGGCTCGAGTATTGTTGACAGATTCTGGGCACTATCTTCTACCGATCGACGTGTTCAAGCCTCAGACGGAGCAAGTGGTAGACGAGATGGTCAACCTGATCGAGGAAAGGATACCTAAGTTATTCTCAGCTTTTGATCATCGCCGGAAGCCCAAGGTTCAGCTACACACGGCCAGTCAACCACAAGGCCCCGAAGCGCAGAATCAGAGTGAGATAAGTAGACTGGCAGCACCTTCGACGACACCGCCATCGAGACAGACATATGGATCGTATCAGAACAAGGACGCCACAGAATTCTATGATGTATGGAGACAGTTCGGCAGCATCAGATACTCTCAAGATGAATGGCCAAGTAACTTCGAGCATGC